TTTATATGTTTTAAATCAAGGGAAAAAATTTGTATTAAAAAATAATGGATTAATATTTCATTAACCATGATTTTCTAGAGTAGTCGACTGTATTGTCTACTTTATACAATGTACATGTACATGAAGACATGCTTTTTTAGTAGAATTTGAAGTGATATTTATTTAGCGGTTTGCACCTAGCTGTTACCCCCTAGTAAGAAAAGACCTGGAAACAGTAGATAAATCTGGGGTGAATACTTACTGAGCCAGTCATAAAAAATTATTGACATATAAGACTAACCTATACAGATCAAAAGCTAATCCCCAACCTAATTACCTTCCCACATTCATTTATACTTTATTATCTTGATTAATGAGATTAAGTCAGGGAGGATTAGGCCACTCAAGATGTCTGGATCCTAAATGGCTGGTCAGTTACACCAACTTGATAAGCAAAATAAATGACTGTCTTCCTGACTTCCTGACATGAAACTTCAAACTAGCCATGAGTCATTGAGACTGGTCTGGCCAAACTACATACAACTTCATACTTCATAATAATATGTTACTTTGACAAGCTTTTTGAATGAATAAAGTTACATGTACCGAAGTCGTTTTTACATATACAATGTAGGTTCAGTTTATCACAACTTTTCATCCCAAGTTATTGTGGTGCAGAAAAGTAGGACGTTAAACCCATTTCATTTCCTAATAATACATGTAAGTGAAGTCATTAATTAGTAGTCCATACTGTCATGTAGATTCTGTTTATCAAAACTTTTCATCAACAGAGTTTGAAACTCCTATTCATCCCACAAACTGAACATTTTACTTAATCAATTTTCAAAAGGACAAAACTGGAAACCTCCTTATAAGAACACCTGATTTGATGCCTGTATAGAGGATCAAAGTTCAACAATTTGTTGTTTATTGTTTCAATATTATTAACAGAATGTCATGTACTAAGAGTAATATACACAATTGGTCGGGAGAAATAAAACATTAAATAACTGTAACATACATGTATGATGACAAGTACATGTATAAGAATTACATATCTAATGTACCTACATGTACGCAGCAGATATATAATAATATTTACTGTGCTAGTAGGGGTGTATAATTTCCTTTTATAAAACCTATAAAATAAGTCGCTTTGGACAGATTTACAGTCAATTGGCGACAGTAGAGAAAATGTCTAGTTGGATCATAAAGGAGGAATTGTTTCATAAAATGATAAATGAAAGCACTTTGTCAACCAGAAATCTGTTTTCAATTAGCTCTTTAAAAGTTGTCCAACATCATGATAATTCTCTTCATTTTAATGTAATATTTTCAACACAATAAACTTCTATATCTGAATAAAAATAGCCCGTCTGCCAAAAATAAAAGTTTTAAGGGTATAAAAATGGCAAAACCTTGGCAAGATTAACAGCACACCATAAAGTGTCATATTTGTAAAATTTGGCTCCTATAAATAAAACATTAAGCAGTAAAATAGTGGAGTTAGATAGAGTATATTAGACAGGCTGGGTATAAAAGCTTTGATGCCTATCAGAGCACACAGGAGACAGTTGGCTAGCCCCATATTGTTTCCCCTATACAATAGATCAGTCCATTTCTGGACGATGGGTAAGCTAGCTAACACACTTACTTGACCACATTGGTCAAATTTAAAATAAGACCAACTACCTATGTTAAAGTAGGAGTATAGTGCTAGGTATAAAACCATTTATTGTAAATTCTGTGCAGTTAAATTCTAAAACATGTTACAAGAGAAATCAGCACGCTCGTTTGTAAGGGAACCCTCAACAGCAAAGTCTAGTAAACATTGCGCTCATCACACCAAGATAGAGTTACATAGTTTGGAGACACTCAGTCAAGAGCTTCAATCCTTATGAATGCAAGGGGATTTCAGTCTTCTAAAATGGCCTCTACTTGTAGCCTACACATTTTAGCCTGTCAAATTTGAAAATCAGCAAACATGGTGGTTTGTTCATTACCATATTTCAACTAGGTACATATCACTTGTTTTGACAGGGACCAAGAAAATCTTTGTTCTGTGAACTAAAAACTGAAATATATCTGACCACATAACATTCATAAAAATTTAAAATTTACTTTATAAAAGATGGTACGTGAATATCTCAGAAAATGGAGTAATTTGGTCAGACAACCTTTTGCATCTCGGGCTAAAATACATGAACACGTATTTACCCAATGTTTATTTGGGATTTTTTTTTTTCTGTTAGTTATGGTAAATCTTATAATACCCGCGATCACATGTTGTAGAGAAATAGACAAACAAACAAAAAACCAGAGCTTTAAGAGTTTTAAAACTATACAGTTGAAAAAAAATAACACAAATAATATTTATCTTACATTTGCTAACAATCCTAACATACCCTGACAAATATGACCAAAAAACATCTGACAAAATAATGTTTCACATGTCAGTCTACATGGCTTCACCTATACTTTACTTCATATTTCAAACTGCACACATTTGACATGCATTATTAATGTATTTAACTTATATTAAAGCATATGTGACCCGTGCTGACAAACTGAGTCGCAATGAGGAAATTTTGAAAATGGAGTTATTGTTATTTTCACATTCTCCATTTCAATACCTTCAAAATGATGTATTGTTTGTTAAATCGGGCAAAAATTGACTGAGCTGTGTTAGGTTGAAGCTGCCTAAGCAAAGAAAGTAAGTTTTGAGAAAAAGCAAATTAAAGATATTGGTATGTTCCAAAACAAAATCACATAGCAACCATGTCGTTTATTTGCTAATTTGTTGTTTAATGTTTTATTCTATAGGTTTTCAGCAATGCCAAGATGAAAATCGCAGTAAAGATTTGATCTGACATTTGTTTTATTTTAAAAAATGTTTATATATTTGTTTTCCGCCAACTATATTTATCTCACCCGAAATGAACTGTTTTAGTCTTTTCATATAACAAAATATCCACAACACATGTGGCATATTCACATTTGGAATAATAGTGTTATAATTTGGAACAAATGAGAATAGTCCATACATTAGTTATCTATGTTTTGTATATTATATTGGTGAGAATAACTTCAGTTAATCCCATCAATTAATTACCACCTTAGTGCCAATGGTCAGGGGATTAAGATTGTTGATTGGGTAATCAAGTTTAGATTCTTCATCATCAAAGAAGCCGTCACACGACTGAATTAAAATGATGTTTTGCGTTTTGGCCGCAATGTAGGCCTAATAAGACAAATAATGGCAGACTTGAGAATCGTAGCTTTTCGACTCATTGACTGTTCTCATTTTTCCGACCCATGGTGATAATAGAATTTGAAACAATAATATCCAAATATGTATATTAGTATACTTTGCATCTTTAAAATTCTCTGTTCGGAACGAAGATTATTGGCCATTTAGTTTATTTCCATTTAGGTCTATAAATTATCACTGCTTGGATTAATTAAGTCTAGGTCTATCACTTATAAATTATCACTGCTTGGATTAATTAATCGGAATATTGTTTTGTCGACAGCCTTCTCATTGTTAATTATCAATCAACTAATCCTTAATCTGTAACAATTGATTAGTTTTACTCAATGACATGATCCGCTTGTTGATTAATTTACAGCAGCGGTATTCGGACACATGGTATTGGTCAACACTCAACGGCAATCTAGACACAATCAGAATTTTAAGATTTTTTTCTGCCACTTCTCAGAGAGCGTTGCATGTACCCCAAAAAATTATCGCCAAAATCAAATTTCTATCGTCAGCTTGAGCCTCGAGACAGCCAGGATACCATAATGCTTTGCACAGGGTTTTCTGGGCCAATCAGCAAACGAATTGTGTCAACTGCATAGCAACAAGCTGGGTTTGTTTATATGTTGTAGGGTTTTTTTAAAACTTGTTTATATTCGTTCAAAATGAATTAATCAGCAATACTTTGGTCATATTTATAAACTAGACATTTGCCGCTTTACAATGATGCCAAGAGGATTGACTGGTCGTCCGGCTGCAAGTGCAGAAAAATAACTAATTTCGCTGTTTTAAAATGTTTTATTGCTATTTTGATCTTTTGGGTCCATAGATAATATATCTATAGACTCATTTTTGTGAAAATCTGATATTTCGATCAAAATCAATATTTACACTTGTTTTGTCTGTATCTCATTATTAGACATTACCCATTCCAACCCATTTTGCCACCACAGGTCACATATAATTTACATTATATTAATGCATTTAATTTATATTGATGCATTTAACCTATATATAAATGTACATATACACGGAGGAAAAATGCATTTAATTTATATTAAAGTATATTAATGTATTTAATTTATATTAAAGTATGTTAATTTATATTAAAGTATGTTAATCTATTTAATTTATATTAATGTATATTAAAGTAATTAATGTATTTAATTTATATTCCATTCAAAGTGATAATATGCTTTCCAAATGTAGTACAAGTTTAATTTCTTTCACTGCACCTTAAGCACAGTTATATTTTTATTTGCCACAGCTTGAATTACATGGATCTTTACATGGATGTCTTTTAAGATTCAATCAGGCAAATGTGGATTTTTACAGTGTATTCATATTAAGACTAACAGTAAGTGCAGGAGGACTGCACCACACACAAACAAAACCCAAAAGACAAACCTGAAATTGTGGGGGAGAGGAATAGTGGTATTTTCACCTACTTTTCTTCAAATTCCAGCTTCCAAGGAATATTTTATGTACATTGTACAGTACCAAATTATACACCAGACCTTTACTTTCCATTAATGAATTTGAATGACTACAGAGATATCCTTTGATAGCAGTACTGGCGTTACCCCATTGTATATTGAACCTGCATGTACATGTATATTGAAAACTACTGGAGGCTCTTTGAAACTGAATTAGAACCAAGGACGTACTAGTCTTGTCCTGACTGAACTACATTAACAGCATAAGTATGCTACACCTTAATGTCTATGTATATATTTTAGTGAAGACGACTATGAAAACTTACCTGTTAGATATTGTCTGTGAGCTGTTGGTGTTAATCCTGTTTCTGTTGACTCCTGCTCACCCATCAGTCGATCTGGAAAATAATTCATAACATTTTTGTAATAGGTATTATAATATGCAAAATATTCATAAAATTTCCAAGCTAACCACATGTACATGTATGCTGATGGGATTTTTTAAGATATCCCTAAAATTGTGCTCAAATGGCACTGCCCTGGTAAAATAGATTCTAAGAATGTGCACGTCCATAAATGTAGATCAATCCTAAACAAGTCAAATAAAATATTAATCGTGGATCGCACCGGTCAGTTTCAAACTGCCAATGTCATACGGAATGAGACAACATACATTGTAATATTTTATACTTTACGGTTCACAAGTTAAATGTACAATGGAAACTTTCTGGTATTTTGTGACCACCCTTATAAATGCAGATCCTTTAAAAGTTGTATTATATAAAATGAACCACAAAACATTCACTTAAACATGTACTTGTATAGCTAATTCAAATTGCATCATTTGAAAATAGATTAGAAAAATATTAATTTCCATAATGATGTCCATAAATCATAATAAAGATGTCAATTAAATTATTGAATCCTCAATTAAAACTGACCCTGAATGTTGCCTTGATTTTATCTATTCGGTAAGACAAAAGCATGCTTTAATATACTTATAGCAATGACTACAGAACGTATGTGTCCATATGCAAAAGTTGACAGAAATTTTCCAGCTAATTAGATGTTCCGCCTTTTCAATGTGGTACTTTCAAGGGTTGACAAGTAAGGATGTCCAGTTGTCAGAAAATTAAATAAGGTGTAGTTACATGTATGGCATGATAAGAATAGCTGAAAACCTGTCAAGAAAGGGTGTTGATGTTGTCAGTAGAGTACAACAAATTATGCAATTGGTTATGTAAATTAACAGTTGGTTATGTATAGTTATGTACATGTAAATCAACGATTGGTTATGTATGTAAATTAAGAATTACAGATGCCAATATAATGTAACAATTATTTGTTAATTCCTGCATGTTATGAGCATGCACCTCATGTTTGTATTGGCAGACCAATAATTATTCAATTATTTGGTACATAAAAGATTCATTTCATATTTAGTGCAAAATAAGTGACCCCATGGGTGGTCATACTAAAAAGTAAATAAAGCCCCATTCACATATCATTTTATTACAGATGTGAGAGCATTCCCAGGTCTGGTGAATATGTACAATGTCATCGTACCTGTTAGCCCTACTGATGTTGCATGACATACTATAACACGTGTGAAAAATATTGTTATTTTATCAATGGAATAGATCATTTCTATATAGCTAATATGAATAAATTATTTTTTTCTATAGGTAATTTAACAGGTGAGCATCAAAGCCAGTGATGATTAAATTATTTTTCAACATAGGTGGCGATTGATTTTGCATAAATTAACCGTTGTATCTCCTTATCAATTTTACTATCACTGTAATTCATAAAACGTTTGTTGCTTCCCTGACTCAACAGAACTGAAAGGCGAAAGAAGTAACCATATTACATTGTAATTATTAGGGCAAGACAAGATTTTTCTAGATATTCATCCCAATTTGAGTTTATCTATAACCATAAAGGATGTTCATTGCCCGTTTTATAGAATACATTTTAAAAATGAGTACATTGACAGTCGGTGATCTACTTGCCCTACATTGGATCAAGCCCCAACCTGTAGATTCTGTAGAGGGGAGAGGGCTAGGTGGTTGAGTGTTCTTTAGAGCATAAAGTCTGCCATTGAGTTAAGTGGCATGGTTCGATACCAAGCTTGTACTGGACAAGGTGAAGGGTTGCCTGCTAAACCTTGTGGGTTTAATCGTGGTCTTCCAGTTTCCTCCCAGTATTACAGATCTCCTAAGTGCAAGCAAATTATTGGAATAAAATTTACTTATGTCAGTCCTCCTAAAATGCTCCTAAAATGACCTACATGTACATTTAGTTAGTGTCAAGCAGATGTTAAAGCCCAATTCTCTCTCCCTCAACCTGTAGCATATTCATGGTCATTTGGGTTTCAATCAAACATAATTTATCACTTTCTGAATATTACTTATTTTGCATTTTCTGAATTTTAATTATTTTGCGTTTTCAGGAGTTGCCCCATTAACTATTTATCATCACTTCTATTTAGTTGTTGTTATTTGAAAGATACATTATGGGAGATTCGATAACGAGTTGGCAGTTCTCACTATAACAGTTAGAAACAAGATAATCTAAAGGCAATTTGCTGAAAATTTCATTCAAATTCATCCACTATGAATCGAGAACTAAGCGATTGAAATTTCCCCCTAGCCTTGATCATCATTACTAAAGTCAGTACGATAAACAGCATAGTCTCGATTATTCATTTAATCGTTAAATCTTGAAGGAAAGTTATGCAGTAAATCGGCTCATAATCCACTAAAGATCGCAGGCTAGCGATGTCATCTAGAGTTGATTATGGTCTGGATACATGTAGGTTAAATAATTTATAATTTAGATAACATTTCAGGCCTAAAGAAAGACCTGCAATATACATATTTAGCACTTGCATAATGTATGTTTAACAGTCATTGGCAACTTTAACCCTTGTATCATGAACTTACTGTTTTACTAGTAATCTACATTTCTTTTTTAAAAAATGCATTTAATGACCCATGTTATTAATCCCTGACATTTACCACAGCTATTTGTTTCGCAGGCTTTAACAGACTAGCACACTAAGCGTATGCTTGCCAGCCAATGAGCAGTTAAAATATAAATATTGGTTCATAAATACATGAGTTCAATTGACTCATCATTTATCTACATGAAGACTCCAGGGGAAAAACTGGTGATGTCACGTTTTCTGACTTTTAAGTAAATGGAAATTTCCAGTTTAAACACTCATTTCTTCAGTTTGGAATTTTTTTTTTAAATATTTCAAGTTTGTATGAAGAATCATGCATTTAGTGAGAACATTTAAGCTGGTGCACACTCCCATAGCATTCCTATGGTGTATTTTGGGCATTTGATTTGACTGACCATGGTTTGGACATCACCAGTTTTTCCCTTTTATGCCTTTCAAAAAACCCTCTGTAGAGAGTGGCATGTCCAGTTGTTCCATACAATATTTATGGAGAAGAAAGAAGGGACCAAGGGGTAAAATTATGGGGAAGTAATCGAACAAAAGCATAATGTGGACATCACCAGTTTTTCCCCTGTGGTCTTCACATGTATCTTTCTCTTGGAGGTTTTACATCTTGCTTCAACAATAGTGATATCACAGACTATTCAATTTACCCTTGCAGTTGAAAGATGTATTTGGCGGGTCTAAGCTATTACTGCTGGACCATATTGGCAACTTGGCATCAAATGTCAACAATGATTCTTGTGTTTATACATGCACATCATACGTGTATGTAAAAGGACTAAAATGTACATGTACATTATAGCATAGCATAAATTGTTATTGTAAAACCATATGTGATATTTTACAGTTACAAAAATACTTCATACAGATTTACTCTTTTTTTAAACAATTCATCAATAAAATTTTAAAAATAAAGAAAATAACAGTGACCTTGGCTGTCAATTACAGCCTTTACACTTCAAATAATGCATTGAATAGAGATATATGCCATGGTAATAATTGCATAATCTCACAAGTAGGCTATAATAGAAGTAATTAATGTTTCTCAGTCATTCATACTGCAGTTAATTGACATGTTAGCCATGTTACTGATGTAAATGTAGATATAGACCTACATGTAATTGAGTAATACTATATGATTTTGATCTTATTTAAGAGAAATTGGGTAACTAGGCTCCTGAGCGTAGCAATTTATATTGATATCAGATACAAGTGCTCAAGTTTATTTGTATTGCATAATACAGAATACAAAAACAATATTCAGGGGTTAAAAAAATTCACATAATACATACAGAGAGAGAGAGAGAGAGAGAGAGAAATGGGATTTAAGTGAAACAATCTAGGTCATTTCGGGACTAACATATGGTTCAATTTTATTTCCATAATTCGCTTGCGCGTAGGGGTTTCGCTTGCGCGTAGGGGTCTTTAGCAGTGGGAGGAAACCGGAGGACCCGGAAAAAAAACCACGATGTTGGACAGGCGTAATACTTACAGAATGCTAAATGAGTCTTATACAAAAATTGTTAGTAAATGCTATGTAGACTCAAGCGCGATTCACATGGTAGGACAGGTACCATGGATGATACAGTGTATGCTGATTATTTCCATTTGAACTGATACTTTTTTGTTATTGTAAAATCCGTCATCTAGACATGTTAAGTCCACATACTATTACACAGATTTGTCATTTTGGACTTTAAATTGGATAAACTTCATGATCGATAGTCGGGGTAATCGGGTTTAATGTCCACTAAACATAAGGGGGGGGGGGGTTGGATGGCCGAATGGTTAGCATGTGCGCGCTGTATCATAAGATCTGTCATTGAGTCAACCAGCGTGGTTTCGATTCCCCGGTTGTATGTGACAAGGAGTAGGGTCGCCTGTCCAACCTTGTGGGTTTCCTCCCACAGCTAAAGACCCCTATGCACAAGTGAATCATTAAAATAAAATTGAACCATATGTTAGTCCCAAAATGACCTAGTTTGCGTCGAGTGGACGTTAAACTTAATTTCTCTCTCCACTAAACATAAATGTGATTTTGGGACTAACATATGATGGTACCATGTTATATAAATAATTTGCTTGTTCCTAAGGTGGAAATCAGAGGACCCTAAGAAAACCCAAGAGGTACTCCTTGTCACGTACAATTCATGATCAATGGTATTTTCATTTGATATTTATTTGAAAATCTAACCAAATACTAAAGTACAATGAAACTAGTCAGCATGCCCCACCTAATGCATGAGACCATTACATGTTCATGTGTCTTAGTAAAACCATAATTGAGACATATCACTCTAACCTTCATTTTTGAGATTGCATTAAATAATAGTTTTACAGCAGCAAGAACACATTATTTCCCTGGCCTACCAAATACTAATGTTCTTATTCATCTGGGTTACATAGATGTAGATCAATAACTTATCATGCATTACTACTATAATCACACTTGACAGTTTATATCACCTATTAATATATTAAATATTTCCCAGGGATATACATGTAACGCCGACTAGTCAACCAATCAAATGTATTAAGAATAAAGTCTATTCCATTCATGGTTTAAACTGAGTATCAACGCCTTACCAATTACAACTTAAATCTAAATAGACATAACACCCTTTTGTAAAAAATTAAAATATGTCTAATGATAAATTCCTAATCAATAATCTGAAGTGCAGTTAACATATAAATATTTTAAGTAATATGGAAATAAAAGTATTTATTTTGTGTAATGAAGCTTGGCCAATTAGCAAAGTGAATTGAGTAATCAAGAGCAACACACATTAGGAATCTTGTCTTTTTGTTTATCATAAAATTATCTCCATGTAATTTTTTCTTAATTGCCAAATATTGCACTGGTTGAACTGTCTGGTGTACATTTTTATAAAGGTTTATAGGTGGACAGATTTTTTTTTTCATATTTTTGTTGAACAAAATACCAACATATCCTGTAGGCTGCACAAACTCAAAAATAAAATAAAAATTCACATAGGAACACAAGCCTGTGTTGACATTCTAATACAATGTATTATTCTGGTATTTTTTATCCTTTAATTGTATGTACTATTTTTCCTACGCAGTCTCCAATGTGTCATTATTTAATGCTGTCGTCTGCTTGGCGGGGAATTATATCCTAAACAAAACTTGGGTGTAATACGAGCTTTTTTTATTATTACTTGTTGACCAATATACTTTACCTGTGTTAATTTTTACCCGTTCTGTATCTAACTGACAATGAGCAGGCATCTGTACATCTGTTGAGAAAAAGAAAAATAGTGGAGGATGTTAATATTTTCGAGCGTTGTTCGTAAAGATAATTGTAGTGTTCCGTCTAGTGATAAACTTGCCCTATGGAGGCTGGCGCCATACAATAATTGTACGTCTGTTTCGGGGTATTAGGTTGTCTCGGTTTTGATCGCCGCTCGGACTAACCACATGTCTGACCCGAGTCAAACAACAGATGTCCACTCTAAAGAGCTCGAAGAAAATGTTAGACATGAAATTAATATAAGAAATCAATTTAAAATGGCTAAAATCATAAATTATTTCAGGTATGCGACTGCTCGCCAGTAATACGCCACCGGAGATGTTATCTCTCAGCATGAGATCTCGGAATAGCTTGGGCTATATTCAGCTTTATTTGGAAAGGATATAACTCTTTAGTCTTATAGAAATAATAGACTGAAATATTAACTTTAAATTTACTTAATGCACAGACGCTGTATGGAAGATATTTCAAGAGAAACTGCATTTTAGCATAAAAATAATGCATAAATGAAGACTTCTTGTGATTTGACCAATCAGGTCGCAGGAAGAAACCAATATGGCGACCTCGCATGAAGGAAAACAATTCTCACTCTCACCTGGTTTGATTAGTATACTCCAGTGATACGGATTGCAACAAATGTGCGATTGGTCATTTACAGATGAACAACACAATAAACGTTTTAATTCCACATTTTCTGATATGTCAGGCCAACGCCATATCTGACAACACAAAATATGAGGGGCGACCATCCTTCTTCCCAGTTTGAGGTCCCCCTTCGGAAGCAAAACACAGTCCGTTGTTTCACCCCCTTTTGATTCTACAGACTGAACTAACAGCTGTAATTGTTTTTCCTCAAGTCTTTTGAGCATAGATTGTGCCACTGACTTGATTTCTAAATCCTCTGCAGTTTCAGACGTACTGTCGCCTTCATTTTTGGTTACTCTATGCTTCCAAAGCCGCTTCACGAGGGCGTTTCGTTTAGACCGAAACATACAGCATTGGGCCACCGTGTCGGTCGGCTAGTACCCTCATAGCCGTATAAAACTCTCAATTCAGCACGGTGTGATGCTCCACAGTAAAAGAAAAATCCAAATAACCCCACTGTTTACCACGTTATACCTTGTTTATCACACTCAGGCCAGTTGCAATTTTTAACACACACTACACTAAATATGACACGGACAAACTGTGACAGTGTGATGTGATACGAACTTAAACTTGAATTTTACTAACAATCTACAATTATAACGTTTCACAATATTCCATAAAGAACATGACTTAAAAACAGAACTTCAGTAAAATCCGTTCACCACATTACATTCCCGTTCTTTTAGCTACCTTTCAACGGTAAATGCCTTACTATTCACATAACCTCAACTCAATCTTCGCTTGTTCTCTTCTCAACTTGAGCCGCATAATTTCTGAGGGGAGACGGGTTCTTCATTGATGTGTATAATTCAACAACCGTCATTGATTGGCTTCGTTGATTCGATCTTGAGGTTAATCATCTATTGTACCACGAAACCATACTTAATTAGATTCAATTATGTTTTGTTTGTCGATGAACTACCAATAAAACAAAAGGTATGATCTGATATCCCTCCACTAGATCGTAGACTCGCCTGAAGTGGTCGACAAAAGGGCCGACTTGATTGGTTGGTCGCTCATAGAGTCTAGACTTTTTGGCGCGCCTGCCGTCTAAACTGATTGAGGCACAAACACATATCACATATCGCTGGCTTGCCGCTCTAACTCGGCTATAGCTGCAGATATTTTGCGTGGGTTATATTTAAGTTAAATAAATCTAATGTTTTACTGAATGTTTTTGAGAATTCATTTTAAAACAACAATACAATTTAACATATGAATCGACGCAATACACATGCTCTAAAATACTATATTTAATTTACTGGGGAGCCCACAGATTGACGATGTCCTTTCTGGATGTTTGCCTTGGAAGCTTTTCTGACCCGTGAATAGATAGGATTAAAACGACAATTACCATTCTGAATTACAAATAAACCCCGTGAATATTGAACTATACAGTATGACTGCTAATAATGAACTCGTCCAGTTTATTGATATCTAGCAGACGACGCATCTCCTGTACACGGGTATATATGGCGCCTTGTTATAAAGAGAATATTATATGTAATTAAAAAGAACGTGATTGCAATCGAGGATGACGATATATCCGTTTTATAATTAAAGCCAAACTGATTTTGATGTATCCGCGCTTACGTTTACAACAGCGTAGGATTAACCACAGAGCACGGTGGGCTCTATATAGGGCCTCTTACACCAGTGAGCCCTGTTACAACCCCGATTGTAATAAAATTTATCTTAACCCTATTGTAATACTAACCCCTATTATATAATAAATGTAATAATTGTAATAAAATTTCCCATAAACCCTAACACATTTATTACAATAGGGGTACACATTACATTACATTATTGTAGAGGCTCGGATAAATCGGATAAACTTGTGACCTCTGGATGGTCCACAACCTGCATTACATGCTTTTATTATACTATTTGCGAAACGGGGAGCTGCTATTTCACGAGAAGTTTCGGCCCGATTTTCAGGTAATTCGGACTCAACCATAATTATGGTGTAACGGTTATATATTTGAACAGTTTTGAAAATAAGACAAAAATTGTGACGGGCTCATAAGCTAAAAAAAAGAGATATTTCATACAATCACGGGGTCATAATCCAGAAAGTTATGGTCCACTACGAGCCAATATTCAAAGGAACTCAGATCTTTGGGATATAAATATATATTTTAAGTTTCATCAAAATTGGATATCAAATCATTAAATCCACCGGCAGATTTTGTCAAGGTCACGAGATGTAAACAGGGTTAGGGCACGTGATTTTGCCGAGGATTATTGGTTAGGGTTGGCGCTAGCCCTGTTTACATCTCATGACCTTTACGAAATCTGTAGGTGGCCTTAATATTTAAATCTAACCTGGGTATTACATGCTTTTAAGCGGAGCCGCCATTTTGTCGGACAGTTTCGGTCCGATTTTCCCGAAATTTGAACTCAACCGTAATTATGGTGTAACTATGATATATTTGAACGGTTTTTACAGTCCGATAAAACTGTGACTTCTACATGTACACGACCCACAAGCTAAAATGTGATTGTTCGTACAATCAGGGGCCATAAACCAGGAAGTGACGGTCCTATATGCGCCAATATCGAAAGGAACCGAGATCTTTCGGTTATTAACATACATTGTAAATTTCATCAAAATCGGATAAAAATTGTAACATCTACAGTGTCCACAACCTTGGTATTATGCATTTGTCAGCATCACAGGATTAAACCACCATCGACTGTGTTTTCATGGTAAGGGAATTAGAAAAGAAATAAAATTTCACTTCACTGCTGAGTAATTTCATTAGCCAGAAATCGCTCAGAAGCGTCTCCGACGATCTAGACCGCCGCTAGCTTCCAGGGCCTAGGCGGCCCCTGGACCCGCGCCTCACAACCTAGGATGGTAGCGCCCCCACCCCACCCCAACAATCATGAACTGTTTCCGCCGGCCCTGTTGTAATATTTTCTCCAATCTTATTAACGGCTTTTAAACACGTTTCCAGTGGTGTAATTTCATAATATTCTACGCAGTATAAAGGCATTATTCCTTGTCTGCGATATCACCTCGGTGGAAGCGGACGTAAAATACAACTAACTACTACTACTTATATTCATACAGAAATGGTAATCAAAATATAGAGTTTTGAAATTAGATGTTGAGACGTCGATTTTATTGTATGGCAAAATACATCAATTACAATTAATACAGTAGGGATTAAGAGACATTTTACTACAATTACTACAATAGGGGTATAGCCGTATAACCCCTAATTAATGTAAGTCAAGCCCTAAATGTGGTGTAGTAAAGGATTTTAAATATGCTATCAGCAGGATTATTTTATCTGATATGCACACGTAAGAGAAATTTTATTACATTTATTACAATAGGGGTAGTTATTACCATAAGGGTTGTAATATGGCTTCCCACACTTGGACTCTTTTAGGGACCTGTCGACGACATAATATTCATATAGACAGTTGAAAGACGGGGTGTTATAGCGAATTTTGGCTTAGAATGGCGTACGTAATTGTAGTTAGCTGTATAATTTTTCCGTGCATACATCACATCACGATCACATGAAATAGTTTGATTTCTTGATTGAATCTCGTATTATAGCAAGGTTCTTACAATGTTTGACGGCCGTTCGTCAAAAATCGACTCCGGTCGGTTACTATGTTGTAACGTTACGGCCTTCGCGGATATGACACTCCGTTATTTATCACTGACCGACTTCAAACTAGGTTTGATGTAGATACCTACATATGTCGACTGCCGAAGTTCTGGTTGCTTGTGTTAGGTTTTGGAGACCCCGCATGCTCAAGGCCCCAGGGTAACCACCATGGTAGAAAAACGAAAAGAGAAACGGCAATTTCATGTTGAAAAAGTAGACCCGAGTCAAAATGTATACATTTTTCACTGTCACAAGCTGTCTAGGATCTTTTTGTTGGTTATGGTGATATAGGTGGATTTGATGCTGCATTTTTCATTTTCGTTTTCGAAACTTTAGGATTTATATTTCTTGAGTATTTATGCTCTAAAAACATGACCTTCTCGGCATAGGCCTTCTCGACCAAAATTAGCGCGATTGCAAGAAAGAACAACGAAGCCTCATTGCCTAACTTTTATATGCTCTCCGTATTCTGGTCCTGTATGTTCAGTTCTTAATTCAAAATGTACCATAGTTTATAGTGGTACCTACTCCGCTGCTATTGTCACGATATCTCATACCCCTTTACCAATCCGTAGTCATCAATAACGTTAAGTCTTCTTCTATAGAACTTAAATTCAGTTGTGCGTCGGGAATCACTGCTCTTTACCGCTTATACCATTCCCATAGGGCGTGTTTTTATATTTCATTCAATCTGAATTATCATATCTATGCTGACGATACTCATCTCTACATTTCAATTATACACCAATATTACGCCTGTTTTGAAAGAACTTCTCTGGCTACCGATTAAGACCAGAATCGTTTTTTTAAAATTCTCATGTTGACGTTCCGTGCTTTGTCATGTGATGACTCTCCTGTATATATTAAAGAATTAATTCAACCCTACCCACCCTACCAGAAATCTTCGTTCCGAAACTAAGTACCTTATTATATCAGTAACTGCTAACTCTTCTTTTGGTAGACGCTTAGCAGAAGTGTGGAATTCTAACGATTTTCCTATAGACCTATAATAAAGCACTGTGCGTCAGTTGACAGTAATTAAAAGGAATCTTAAAACCCACCTTTTGAGAAACGTTTTCTTTTAATCGCGTACATTATGGGAGATTAGATAAAAGAGTTGACTGTTCTCGCTATAATAGTTTAAAGATAGATAGCGTAAATAGAACATGTTGAAAATTTCAGTCAAATTGCTCCTCTATGAACCGAGAAATTAGCTTTTGAATTACTATAGTCGGTACGATAAAAAACATAGTCTCGATTATCCAATTTTGGAGGTGGGGGGCTGGATAGCCGAATGGTTAGCACGTGCGTGCTGTATCATAAATCCTGTCATTGAGTCAGCTGGCGTGGTTTCGAATCCCCGGTTGTACGTGACAAGGAGTAGGGTCGCCTGTCCAACCTCGTGGATTTTCTCCAGGTCCGCCGGTTTCCCCCCACTGCCAAAGACCCCTACGCGCAAGAGAATTATTGAAATAAAAAAATAAACCGTATGTTAGTCCCGAAATGACCTAGTTTGTGTCGAGTGGACGTTAAACCCCATTTCTCTCTCTCTCTCTCTCTCTCTCTCTCCAATTTTGGATTTAATCATCAATGAGCCTTGAACAACAGATTGGATTTCAATCCAGTGAAAATCCGACACATAAGATGACACCAAGAGTTGATTATGGTTTGGATAAGTTAATTAATGTCTAATTAATAGTTTATATATGTTTAACTAGGGTTTTCTTTTAACTTTTGTGTTATACTGACCATAATGTTACCAAAGAGCAGCTTCGGTTGGGTTTTAGGACATTATTATTTATTAGTAGTAGTATACTGCTGATATAGTTAGGTTGTAGCTAATCAAATTGAAGGTTATCCATATGCGCCACAAATCACCACTGACAGCCCGATTTTTCCAAATTTGACCCCCCCCCCCCCCTCCCTTCTACCATACACCAAATATCCTGCGTACGCCTCTGGGCCAGACAGCTTCTTCGAAAATATGAAAAAACACGGTCAAAGACAAGGGCGTTTCCTGGACGAGAGAATTCGTTAGTCTAAAATAATTTTCGACACGCATCAAGCTTGTCATTTGATCTTGGAATTAGAAATGTGCATCTTGGTCCACACCGGAATTCAAATCATTCTAGTCAAGAACCTATAATTGAAATACGAGAAGAGGCCAATAACGGTATACCGTATTTCATACATAACATATTTCTTTTCGACCAGCGCTGTATGTATGACTGAATATTTTACATGGGAAACGAATTAAAATCAGTATATTTTCCTGTTAAAAGTCATCCACGGTTACCCAGTGTACTCATTCCGTTCTACTTCTCTATACCCTGGGTTAATCCATAGGGTTTCCACGATTT